AACAGCAGAAGAACATTTAACCTGGAAGTTGACAATATGTTCCATACCAATATCATTTAATTAGCCAGATATCAGTTTGGTATTACTTAATATGCAGATATTTTTTCAATTATTTCAAAAGTTTATCATGCAGATAAACTTTTTCTTATGTATTATTTTATTAAAAAACCAATGGTGACACTCAAAATGTCTCACAACAAGATTTGCTAAGATAATAAAAAAAATGTGCAATAAAACTATTTTCAAGAACAAAGCCATTCCTGACAACATATATTTATTATTATTTGATATATAACGTATATTTATTATTATTTTTTGACAATATGACCATTTTTTTATGACTAGATGTTTTGACAATTTAAACATTTAAAAAATGTGTTGAATAAACTAAACAAGGAAAAAAAAAATTGGAAAGGAAAGAATTCGTAACAAAATAAAGTGAAAAATTTTAACAATAAATAAACAAACTTTATTTAAATTATTAGTGCATACATAATTTTTATTTATTTATACAAGTATGTATTTTTTAATATACAATTTATTTATAACATGTGTAATAAAATGTGCTTACTGAGAACAAACTTTATGAGCGATTTGTCACTTAATTTAAAGCATTTCAAAAAATACTTTATAACAGCTACATTTATCATAAAAAGTACTTATACAAATATATACAAATAAAAGAAGTTATATTTGATATCAGTATTTAAATTCTTTAGAAATTTAAATAAAATGTGTTTATTGTAAACTAACAAACATTTATTTTAAAGTTTTAGAAATAATTTTTTACTTTTTTTAAAAGCTACTGTGCAATATAAAAACTTTAAAAAGATTAATGATTCAAAACAATTTTTCAGTGCATATCTTAAATGTTTAAATTTTCAAAACAAATTAACAGCTGTGATCAGCCAAACAAAAAAAGAAAAAAAAGGGGCTTGGTCAGCAATAAAATGCAATTATAACATCATTCCTGTTCAATCCTGCATTTTATGTAACAACATGGTTATGGATTTAAGCCCACAGAGTATGCAAGACAATTCAAAATTAAATTTCTTTCCATAAAAGTTACCACTTTTTAAAGATTTATTTTTTAGCAAACATTGGTTGGGTATCTATGTGTTATTATTCATGTTAGAATTCTACATAAATTATATATATATATATATATATATATATATATATATATATATATATATATATATATATATATATATATATATATATATATATATATATATATATATATGTGTGAGTGTGTGTGTGTGTATATTTATGTATATACATATTACAACTTACTTCTGTCAAAATCAGACCATCATTAGGTTTTGTCGTATGTTTTGCTATACTTTCCTAAATTAATATGCAAAAATACATTACTTCTCAAATATCATAAGAAAAGATGAAATATTTTATATATCAAAATTACGTATTTTAGAAGTGTTCTATTAGTATTTTATAATTCCAATTTTAATGATACGAAAACCAACTTTTCCCTGAAAAAAATGTTATATTAAAATAAATATTTAACAATAAATCATATAAGATAAATCTTATATTTATATAATATATTAGTTTATTTAGAAACTATTGATGTAACTATTTTAAATTATACAAGAGGTATTCAAGCAATTTAAAAAATTTAAACTTTTAAATTAAATTATTTAATTTACTTGGGAAATTCTAAGTAATTTTAAAACTATGATATCCATTTCTTTAATTTCAACATGGTCAACTTTAAATACATCTTGAAAATTATAAAAAAGATGTCAATATATTTCTCTTGCTATAGTTAAAGTTGGGTGGTCAGAAATAGAATTTTTTTGAACCACATTTTTTTCGAGCCACATTTGCGGCTTTAATGTATCATTAAAAGTTTAATATTAGTATTATTTATTTTGGAATATCAAAAATATTATTAATGTTAGTATTATTTATTTGTTAACTTCTTAAAATAACAGAAATATTGTTGATTTTCCTATATTTATAAATAAAAATACTATTACCTAGCTCTCTATTTTATATTTTTCTGATGATTATGCTTTAATACTTATCATAGAAACTAAATATACAATTCATTACTAAGGTTGCCTGTCTTTATTGTACTTGCCTTTTTTCCTGATTTTATTATCTACCTCTATAAGTCTTTTATTCTTCTGTGTAAGGAACAATGTTGTCATATTTGGGCTGGTTATTCTGATGATGCCCTTTCTCTTTAAGACTAAATCCAACTTTACTAACTGTAAACTTAGGTGGAACCCCTCTATCTCAAACTTGAGCCTCAGTTTCATTCTATTGGAGAAGCTTTTTTTTTCTCTATTACTATTTACTAATAACATTACTATTATTGCTGCTTAAGTGATCATTTATCTATTGTAACACCCTGTAACACCTTATAGCGTGTTACAAGAGATTATTCTTTTATAACTCATTTTTTAACAATTTTTCTGCAATTTCTTCAACCCTATAACAAACTCTGTGGCTCTCAATCCTATTATAAACTCATTGGCCCTCTGGGCTTTGACAACCTTGTTAACCTTTTCACAACACCACTGATTTTGGTTTCATCAAGAAAAACTCAATCATACATGACTCGTAATTCAGAATCTCAGTCACATCCTTTTACTACAACTTAACTGTTTACAAAAAGTTGTTAATAATAATAATATCAAAATTAATTTCAAAAAATATGATTTTTTTTTTTGCTTTTTTTTTATTTTGTCTAGTTTCAATTTATTTCTAAAACATAAATACATCTAGCAATCAATTAAGAACAAAATATGATAAAAAATATAAATACGCATATTGTTATAGATACATATCATTGCGTCTTACTTCTGCCAAGATCAATACATCAGATTTCGTTGTAAGTTCTGTTTCACTTTCCTAGATAAATGAGTAAAAACATAACTTTTAAAAAATTATAAAAATAGATAAAACAATTATAGAAAAGCATATAAATAGTCAGAGGATTCAAACTCGATTTCACAATATTTTTATTTTTTAATTATACAAAATATATTTGATACATGTTTATTTAACTATCCTCTCAAAATTCTTAACATTTGTTAAATTTTTAATTTAATTTCCTTATTTAAAATTTTTAAAAAAAGATACTATTTACTTGACTCGCTGATAAACAGCAGTCCAAATAACGGTTATTAATGCCCATCTAGCATAAAATTTGTTAAGCTGATTTGAATACTGGTTTTGGCTGACTTTTTAATTTTGATTTTTAATACATTTTTAAACATTTTTCCAACTTTAAATAAATAATCAATTACTCATGCATTTAGTTAATGTATTGGATTGTTTAATATTGAACAAAATGTTAATAAAAAAAAAATTATTTTTTAGATTTTGAACAAAAAAAGATCTGAAAATTTTGATAAGCAATTCTATATATTTTATAGTATATATATTGATCAAGATATTATAGCTTATATATTATAGCTATTATAACCACAACTCATTATCAGAAAAAATTGGATATTGAACAAACCAATTCTCAGGTGACTTTATGTGAGCAGTAAGTGATTTCGGTTAAGCAACTTTTTATCATTTTTTAATTTTTAAATTATTCTATAAGTGGTAAGATAAAAGAAGTAATTAATTCTAAAAAAAGTCACTTTAAATTTTGAATGATGTTTATGTAAAAATATTTGTTACAAAAGTTTGAATGACAATTATGTTTGATATAAACCTTATTTACTAATGAAAAAAATTCAAATAAAATTAAAAGTTTATTTATATTTTGTTTTTATTTTATTGTAATGATTGATTTTTTAAGCTTGAAGCAATGATCATAAGCATAAAAACAAAATTTAATTCTGATAAAAAAAATATATGGTTAAACTAATTTAATAAAAATAAACAATTTTGTGATAAACGAAATATATATTTTAATTTAGATTTTAAAAAAATATACATCATTTTTGATTTTAAAAATATATTTAAGTTTATTAAAATTAAAGTTAATGCTTGTTAATGCATAACTTAACTGTCAAATCTAATTAAAAATATTACTAAATATTGTTAAATATTCAAATTTAATTTGTTCTTAAAAAAAAATTAGCTTATTTTAATCAATATTGTTTTTTCGGTTTCCCTTCCTAAACATTTTTTCTTTTTAGTCAAAATTAAATTCTAAATAAATGGCTGCATCAAAAATTTGTTAAAAGATAAACTTTTTTATTGACAACGTAGAGATTATTTTTTAATAAATGATATATACAGCAATATAAATTTAATAATAAACTCTAAATAACTAAAGTAAATAAATTAACATAATTTTTTTATTTGTTACTTGCTAATTTTTTTTAAATAAAAAATCATTTGCAATTGCAAAGCCGCAATTAAAATTTCAAAATTAGAAATTTAATATTTTAATTTAATAATAATTTTAAAAATTCAAAAATTTGACATATTTTAATTCATTTATGCAAATGTCGAGAAAGGAAAAAAATTTGTTAATATCAAACATTTTTAAAAATACATATTTAATATTAAAAAAAAGATTATGTAAGTATGTGATGATTATGTAAGTATGTGATGATTATGTAAGTATGTGATGATTATGAAGTATGTAACTTGCAGTCATAATAATATTACTAGTCTTGCTGCGTACAGTTTCTCTGATTGACAACAATTGTATGTTGTTGCTATGGTTACTTTTTACTAAATATGTTCCAACATATCATGATACTACTTTAACAAAAATCAAATCTGACAATCATCTGCAATTATTGAAGTTATTCTTATTTTCTGAGCATCAGCAAATCTTCCATTACACATTTTTTCTTACTGCAAAATAATAATCTTCCAATTAGTTTTTTAATTAGAAAAATTGAAGGTAAAAAAGCCTGAAAGCCAATAATTCATTTTAAATTATTTATATACTTTTTCTTGAAAAGCTAAAGCATAATTTAGCAATGACATCCATTGTTTGTGATGTCATTCATTGCCAAAACAACAAGTCAAAACTTAAATAAAATAAAAAAATTAGTAGCCTGGTTAACTGTAGAGGAGATAGAGCCTTGGAAAGGTTAATTATAATCTTTTGTTGAATGCTTATCCCTCAACAGAACTTAATTTAAAAAAATAAATTGTCTGAGTGTGTTTTTTTATAATATCTCTCTGTACTGTCATAAGTGAACAACTTCCTTAACGTATTCATGTTTTCTTTTATTTGCTTGTTTGCTATTTATGCTTTTAAGTGTTATTCCATTAACTAGTTTCTATGAGTGGTACTAACCTATTTTTGTAAATTTTTAATGACCTTTGTAAATTTTATCAAAATGGTTGAATAAAAATGAAAAAATGAAAATGTAACAATGTAGAGTATTTTAAAAACCTGTTTAGAACCTAACAGAATATTCTGGATTTTTCCTTCCTTTTAAAACTTTTCAACTTTACAACAAGTAGGCTGATTCCAAGTTCAATTTTTAAATAACGGGCTGATTCTAATTTAAATTCCAGATTCTTAAGGAATAATAAGAATTGCTATTCTCCTTCTTTTTTTAATGAACTTGAAAAACTCCTGGTTTCTTTAAAAATTGACAACAAACTGATGTAAAATACCTTTCCACATTGGTTGCTAAGGTTTAGCCAAGAACCAATAGAATCAACTATACTCAAACTTTAAATTCAGCAGATTTTTATTTTATTCTATAGTTTTTTATTATGTGTATTTATTAAATCAACAACTAATAATTTATACATTATTATATTTAAAAAAGTAATAATTAAAAAAAAAAAAATTAGTAATTTAAAAAAAAAAAAAAGAACATAAATAAAAACCTTCAACATAATCCATTCATAGGGTATTTATGTGATTGCTAGTGCATTTTGTGAGTCAGCTAATCAAAATAAGAACCATTAATGGATTAACTATTATTAACCCAGTGTTATATATTTATTGTTATTTTTCTTGATGGTATGTCTCCTGATGCTTTTATGACTCTGGATCATCACTAATTAGGCGTTAGTTCACTTTTTTAATTTTATTTATTGAATATAGGTTGTGCGCCCAAAAACATACACATGTTTTTATTAACTACAACAAACGAGTTTGCTACTTTATTGAGTTTAATAATATAAAAACATTTATATAACAAATATTTATATGAAAAGTTGAAAAAGTGTGAGACAAATAACAATATGTCTTTTACCCTAATAACTTTATAATTACTCTATATTCACCATCCTGAACAATTTTTTCAAAATTCTTATTAGTAATGACTAATGATCTCAATGCAACTGCTAATCATACTTAGAATGTACAAAATACCTAACAACGTTTTGCAAATCCAAACATTTATCTGTGTTTAACTAAAAGAAATACCTAAAAAGACAGCATGAGCTATAAGAATAGTCAATGCCATTATTGAATGGTATTAGTTACACAAATACCATTCACCAATTTTAAATCTCTAGATTTAAAATTGTGTAGCTAAAATTAAATTTGTGTAGCTAATTTCAAAGCCTGTATTTTGCTGACAATAACTACTGAAAGTTTTAAAAAATGCAGAAACATAAGACTTTGAATTAACTATAAACTTCTACATGGATACTTGTATGTCTTAGTTCCTGTAATCTATATACCAGAATGACTAACTTAAAAAAAAAGGCTCAATCTTACAGCTCTCACACACTCTTGAATATTCAGCAGCCAAATGTTCTCGTTTAAATACTAGGTGACTTTTATTGATATGATAACATGCCACTATGCAAGAAATACCATTTATGGCAAATAAAACAGGCTCCAACGTGAGTAACAGTATTTTTACCATTTTAATTTTAATTAACTGCAATATGTCACTAACAGTCATGTTCTTCAATTATGAAAAAGAATTTGATCTTATCAATCACATTATACTCATGGATAAACTTGAGATCAATCTATTGTTATCATTCTAGATTGCATAATGGCTTTCATACTGTAAACAACAAGTCATTTTCATTAGCATGTCTACTAAATGGAAGGATGTAATAATGAGAGCAATACAAAAAAGTATTCTTGATCCAATCTTTTGTATTACGAAAGTAATGGACATAAACAATTACTATCTAAAGATTAACACCAAACACAAAATATTCCAACATTATCATAGCTAACATATTTTTTTAAAACTCTTATAATTTACTTCTTTGTATATTTAAGGTGAAATGAACATTTTCCTTTAAATATAGAAGCAATTTTATTGCTATAGATAGTCTTTAAAAACAGTACAATGATTATAAAGATTATCCTAGCAAAGTTAAATGCAAAGTGACTTAAATTGACCAAAGCTTGACACCAGATATAACATTAAAAAACAAAATTCTTTAAATAGTCAACTCATACAAATTCCTGGGCATCAATGTTAGGATAAGTTTTAAATTCTTATTTTGAACCTAATAACTTACTTTCTGATCATCAATATGGATTTCGATCTTCTCATTCTACTGCTGATTTATTAACAGGAATAACCAATAATTTTATTGTGCATTAGATAGATGTGGAGAAGTTAGAATTATCACTCAACATTTCTAAAGCCTTTAATAAAGTTTGGCATGCTGGTCTTCTCCATAAACTTTCTTCTTATAGTGTATCAGGTAACATCTTTAAGACTATTAAATCCTTCCGTACCAATCGTAGTATAAAAGTTGTTGCTTATGGACAGCACTTTTCTTCATTTTCTAAAACTTCAGGGGTTCCTCAAGGTTATATTCATGGCTCTATACTTTTTTTAATTTATATTTATGATCTTCAAAAAATTCTCACATCTAAGGTGGCATTGTTCACTATGATACTACCATACATTCTTGTCTTGATAAGAAGCCATCTATTGTTGTGTAAACATAGTTGGACGTGCACTTGACCAAGTGCAACCTTAACCATTGTCACATTGCTGATAATGAAAACTATAATGGGCGCTGCTATAAGTAACTAGCGCCTCGTGTACCATCTACTAAAATTCATTTTTGTGTTACTCGTCATTTAATTAAGTCTTATCATTTTACTTTGACTGTCTAGTTCTTTTCTTTAAACATCAGTTCTTTGGAATTTGCTACCTTAAATTTATTTTCCTGATTCATATAATTAGCAATTTTTGAAGTTATCTGTTAATTGTTATCTTGTTTTATAAACTTCATCTTTTCTTTTCCAGTATCTCTAATAGTGGTTGCTTGCAGCCTTTTTGGAAGCAAAGATGTTGAGGAAAAAAAGTCTGCATAAATTTTTTTTATATTTCAAAATAATATTTCTGGTTTTTTAAAACTTATAACAAAGTATAGTAAGATTTCCAACATTAATGTTTAATACTGTGTTTATGTTGGTTCTACTAGTAATGCTCTTTTTCTTCTAATAGACCAAAACTGTTATTGGTGTCACTTAGGATTGACAGCTATATTCACTAAATAAGCAAACAGGACTGCTATTTGACAAGAGCCGAGTTTGAAAAACCATAGTCAGTGCCGGGGCAGTGGTTATGGCCAGGGCTAAATAAATCTTGACAAAACCTATAAATTAAATAAATATTTTGTCTTGGTTTGAAATTCACATTATGTTTATGTTATACATCATGTTATGTATTTATATATATGTGTACATATATTTGGCCAAGACCGAGGACAGGGCTAGGGCTCTGATCATTTCCTATATCATTTCCTATATCTATTATCACTCTTATTTACTAGTAAATTTCTTAATGAGCATCTTTAAAAGGCTGAAACTTTTTCTTTATTTTATAAATGTTACTATGGTTTCTGCTTAAAAGGCATATTGGATAGCATTAGTAATTTCAAAATTAGATTATGCTTGTTTTATACTTTTCTAAAAGATTTTCTTTAAAAATAAAGAGTTAAATTTTGAATATAATTTTATATTTTTATTAATGAATAGACAGTTTGTATAATTAACAGTTTTACATTACTTTTTGTTTAGAAAGCAACCAAGTTAAAAATCGATAATAATTATTGATTACAATTGCTATCAATTTATGTTTTTACTCTAAAACTTTTTTTTTTATTTTTAAAATATTTTCCAGCTTTTGTGTTTACATGTCACGTTTGATAAATAATATGCATCTTTGATACAGTATATGTGTTACAGGTATCATGTACATTCATGTACAATCAGTAGAGTTATAGGGATTTAGAATTCATTTTAACATTTAGTACTTGTCTAAAATTGTGTCAGTTAATATAAACAAAGTTTATTTTTATTAAACTTATTTGTGATTAAGTTGAAATCAGTATTGAATCAAATCAATATAACTTTTGTAGGCAATTTTTGTCATTTAAAATAATATAATTTTTTGTTGTTGTTGTTAAAACAACAACAATTGTTTGTGATTGACTTTCTAATTTTTAATTCTTTCTAACAAACAATTAATTAAACAGTTATATTGTAAAAAATAAATAAAAGCTGTATTTTTATTTTAACTGTCACAATTTCAGGCAAATTAAATTAAATATTAAATTCAATTCTAAATTCCTTAAACACTACTGATTGTTTATATATGTACATGATAAAAGACACATGCATATATAATATCAAAGACATATATTATCTATTATATATGACAAGTAAACAAAACATCTGCTATTAAATATCTTTTTAAAGTTAAACACAAAAAGATTGGCTATAACCTTTTGCGTATTAAACTAAATAAACATAGCTAAATGTATAACTATTTAGTGGTAAAGCACAAAAAGATTGATTATAACATTTAGCACCTTTTGCGTATTATACTAAATAAACATAGATAAATGTATAACTATTTAGTGGCTTCATAGATATCTTATATATCAAACCAAATTTTACCAAAACCCATCAATTAAAAAATACATTAACACACCTAATAATCATTCAAAAAAATTTAAAATGCATTAAAACAATGAAAATTATTTAAAATTATCTTACATTAGTCTCAGTTTCAACGAGATCTTTGAAACTAATAGGCAATCCAAAATTCGTTGACATTAAGGAGACGATTACAAAAAAAAAATTTCGATAAATTAGCATGTTAGAATTTTGTCAGTTTGATATTATAGAAGAGATAACTATTGACAGTGTTGCTAAATAAAGTTCAAGTGAGTTTAGGATGGCCAATCGCTAAGAACCCACGTGTACGACAAAAGACGTGATTTGCAGTTTTAAACCTATTTCTCAAAATAAGGCAAATGACAAAAAAATGTCTTTTTCGTCATCCGACAAAAAACTTTTAAAAATCTAGGAGCTGGAAATTAAAATCTTAGTTTAAGTTTTTTTTATTATGTTTCAAATTTATTTATTATAATACACAAAGAAAATAACAATAATTAATTTTTTCAGTATAATTATTCAATTATGTCGGGTTTATATTTCCGTCTTTATAAATGTCAAGCATAGGGAATGGAGCTAGGGCCGTCCTAAGGAAGGGGCGTAAGGGGTATCTAACCCCCTACGTCCCTTTGTTGGGATGGTCCCTATGGTTTCTCAGTTGGCAAATTATAACACTTCAATCAGCAAAATTTGATTTGTAATCGGCAGTCGGCAAATACAATTACACCAGGAGGACTTTAAACGAGGACTTTAAAGAAGAAAAACTTCTTTAAAATGAATAAAAAAACTTTAGAAAAATAATTACAATATGCTCCCTTTATTCTGTGTTGGAAAAAGTTATACAAAAAATAACAATAAACTTTTTTGTATACCGAAAAAGAAAATTCATCTGTATCATTGTATATAATATCTAATATATAGCCAGAGCTGGCGCCAGGCCTCGAACCTTTCAATTCTGCAACTTTATTCTTTATTAGCGTTCGGGATTATCCATAAATTATGCAAAGTTAAATTCGTTTAAAAAAAAGAAGTTAAAAGACATTTTAAATACATTTAGAACGTTCTAAACGTATTTAAAATGTCTTTCAAACGTCTTCTAAACATTCTTGTGTAAAGAACTATAAAATATTCTCTCTCTCTCTCTCTCTCTATATATATATATATATATATAGAGAGAGAGAGAGAGAGAGAGAGAGAGCGAGAGAGAGAGATCAACTAAAATTTTCCCACTGTTGAATAGTCTGAGCTATATACTAAGTGATTTTTACAACTTAAAGTTTTAAAAATTACGTAGTTTTAATTTTTTACTATATTATAGCTTTAACTCAGTTCATCGAGCACTTTCTTGATCGTATATGTACTTTAAAACAGCATCACTACAAAAATATAGATCAAGAAAGTGCTCTATGAACTAATTCAGAGCTATAATATAGTAAAAAATAAAACAAAGTGATTTTTATAACTTTAAGTTTCATGCTATTACAATCATCAAGTGAAATACAAATGAAGCATTTTCTTTAAAAAAAATGCAGTTAATATACAGTTGGAACTAGTTACGTAAAACTAACTTTATGTAACTATTTCGAATGGTTATAGAAAAAAATCCCCCCCCCCCCGAAAGTATCCCCCACAAAAAATAAAATTTTTTAGAAAATATTGCAAAAACCCAGTAAAATTAATAAAACTTTATTTAAAATGATTATTATCTTTACAGTGAAAATTTAAACAGTTAATTCAAAATAGGATTAATATTACCCCGACAAACTGAAAGCCTAAAACAAAAAACAGGATTAATATTACCCCGACAAACTGAAAGCCTAAAACAAAAAATAGGATTAATATTACCCCGACAAACTGAAAGCCTAAAACAAAAAATAGGATTAATATTACCCCGACAAACTGAAAGCCTAAAACAAAAAATAGGATTAATATTACCCCGACAAACTGAAAGCCTAAAACAAAAAACAGGATTAATATTACCCCGACAAACTGAAAGCCTAAAACAAAAAATAGGATTAATATTACCCCGACAAACTGAAAGCCTAAAACAAAAAATAGGATTAATATTACCCCGACAAACTGAAAGCCTAAAACAAAAAATAGGATTAATATTACCCCGACAAACTGAAAGCCTAAAACAAAAAATAGGATTAATATTACCCCGACAAACTGAAAGCCTAAAACAAAAAATAGGATTAATATTACCCCGACAAACTGAAAGCCTAAAACAAAAAATAGGATTAATATTACCCCGACAAACTGAAAGCCTAAAACAAAAAATAGGATTAATATTACCCCGACAAACTGAAAGCCTAAAACAAAAAATAGTTGTAAAGCTTTAAATTTCACGACATTAAAAATTTTTTATTAAAAATCACTAAATAAAGTATTTTAAGATTTATTTTATTTATTAAGTATTTTTAAATTGCACTTGAACTATTTATACAATCCTTTGATTTTATTACTGATTAAGTAAGGAAAAAGTTATAGTTCCAATCAAGGAAACTTTGGACTATTTTGTTACATCACTGCATTATCATGCTTAAGGCAATTTATAACATAAGTTTAATTTGTTATTTTGCCTTTTAAATCCCATCGAATTAAACAAAAAAAACAACCTATAATCTATAGCAGTATAGTTTACCCAGCGCAATTAATGTAGCGTGAACACAAAGTTAGATCAGCGAAAAAAAATGACTCAAAAATCTTTAAATCAATGGTGCACATGCATTTTTTGAGCAATAACTTTCAAAATATGTCAAAACGTAGAAAATAAGGCGTTTTACTAAAAAAATGCAAAATATAGCCATAATTCTTTTTTTTTTAAAATAAATGCAAGTGTTCCAATAAGGCTTTGTTCCAATTATGGCAACTCTCCCCTACGTCAAGAAAATTAACGCTGTTTGAATCTCTATTCGGAATCTGATGTTTTTAAATGTCTTAATTATACTTTTTCTGACTTTGTCAAACTGTGCGGCAGTTTTTTTGCGCATTATCATCAATCCGTCACTTTAGTAAAGACTTATATCATTTTTAGTAATAGTTCTAGATAAAGAGTCTATAATTAATAAACACACCAGTTCACACACTTCAAAACATCTTATTGTGACGTCAAATCAATCGTTATACACCTTTTTCCATGTTTCATTATTAAAATAATAACGATTTTCTGCAATGATTTATGACCCTAATTTTTTCATTGCTGATTTTAGCGTGTTGTTTTGCAAGTATTAAAGCCTTGTTCAGTATGTCTTTGTGATGGATGGGTATAACTTTTTATTAAAAATAAGATGGGTTGTATAAACACACAGTGTTGCTTGTAGCAAGTGTTTGTAAATCATTTGACAGCGCCGTGTTCTGTAATAGAATATCACCGCACCTTAGAATATTACCGTACCAGTAGAAATAATGAAAACGAGGATGCGTTTTGAAGTAATAGAACTTAGTAGGGTAGTAAGCGCGTCCGAATAATGCAAGTTTGTTCACAGTATATAATAAAAACGCAACAAATACATATATGAAAATCATTATAAATTATTTACTGTAGATATATACGAAGTCTACAAGTCATGGTACTATAGTTTAACTTTTTATTCTAAAATGAATGGTCTTCTAGTAATCTTTTACATATATTTCTTATTTTCTACTAGATGTTATGCAATATTTTACATATCTATATAAGGAGATGTAATATTCTATTATGTAAAAACTAAAAAGATATTCTGAATTTTAAATGCGACAAATTAGAATATCTTTTGTAAACAATAAACAAAATGGATAGTATGCAATAAATTAAAAAGAATAGTTGAAATTAATAATATTGTCACGACCAAAATATTAAAGGCGTAGAATAAGCCACGGGATGGTCGCTAAAATAAAAAATTCGAAATGTGCGTGAGGTAATCTTTGTCAGTGAAGTCATTGCTAATGTGGCTTGTTAATACCTTTGCTATCATCAAAGCTACATAGTCCTAAAAAGATTGTTTTTGCTTATTTTCAAGGGAGTTGTACTCGTAGCTTTCTTAACATAGAAGATTCAAATTGCATGGTTAAATGAAGGTTTAAGTTGCAACTATCAATTGCATGGTTAAATGAAGGTTGCAACTATCAATTGCATGGTTAAATGAAGGTTGCAACTATCAATTGCATGGTTAAATGAAGGTTGCAACTATCAATTGCATGGTTAAATGAAGGTTGCAACTATCAATTGAGCTACAAGATCAAAGCAAAAATCATATTAATAGCAGTTTTTTGTTAAATAAAGCAACTACCTTGTTTAAACATTCGTTCTAGACTTTTTGAGGGGTTTTTGTTAATTGCTTGAGGCAGCAAACAGTTTCACTTTTTTTTTTGCCGTCCTCAATAATATATTTCTTGCTAAACAAGACAATAAAATGCTACGAGCTAGTTAATTTTTAGACTCCGAATTAAATATTGTAAAATAAAAAATCCTCTATTTTTGGGGCGTTATTAAAATGGAATTTTTGGGGCGCTGTTAAAGTGGAATTTTGGCTCATAATCTTAATCAAGATTAAGATTATAAGCCAAAAAAAGATTTACAAAATCATTTTTTAACTGTTAAATAAGTATGAAAAACGTTGTTAAGAACTGAATTAATTATTTTAAATTCCTCTTCCATCGCTTATTATAAAGTATCCTAAACAATAAGTTCTTAACAACGAAATAAGTAGAGAGCAATCTTTATAAATATGAAGCTCAATTTCACCTAATATTTCAAAAAGTATTATATTCTCTTCTTTTTGATTCATACTTCCTAACTTATTACAAGTGATGTAAACATCATAAAAGTGAAGGTAATACAAAATAGAACATATAAAAATGCTTTAGCCGTTTTTTTTTTTTTGATATTATAAAAAACATTTCAAACATTTTTGCATTCAAAGTTTTTGTTTAAATTACATAAATTAGTTGCAAATTAATAAAGTAGAGGAAGAAACAATACAACAAACATAAGTTTTCTATACTTTTTGATTTTAATTATTGGTTTCAGAAAGTTTAATTTAATTTATAACTCTGCTTTAGTACAATTTATTATTAATTGTATATTCGATTTCAAAAGTAAAAATATTTTTAAAGAATAATTTTGTTTTCATTGTCATAATTAAACTTGAACTGCGACCTTTTCAAGTTTTTCATTTTTTTTAGTATTCCAAAGACTGTTGTTTGGTACCAAATCGAAATAATAAAAAAAAATTAATTAAAATACAGAACATGTAAAAAATTATTAAATAATTATAATATAATACTATATATATATATATATATATATATATATATATATATATATATATATATATATATATATATATATATATATATATATATATATATATATATATATATATATATATATATATATATATATATATATATATATATATATATATACATATATATCATTATTTTGTAAGATCATACAATATTAATTTTTGTTAGATCATACAAGAAAAAGGCCCCAATGTTATCAGAAATATGTGTTAAGAATTTAAAGTAAAAACGTGAGTTTTTTTATATAAGACATATAAAAAATTATACTTAAATATTAATATAAAAAATATACTCATATGTTAAATTAAATTTAATCAGTATAATCAAATAATTATAAAATAATACTGATTTAAATAATTACTTGAAGTTCCTTCTTCTCATATGACGGAATATTGCGCTCGTGTGAAACCTGTAGTTAAAGCAATGGACAAATTGTTGCTCTTGATATAACAAAAGCTAATACGAAAATGCGTATACCTATTTGTGCACAAGAAAGACTTACTATAACAGTACGGTATTTGGAAACTGGGGATGCGCACACTACAATTGCTGCTAATTACCGAATGTCACCAACCACTCTTGGTAGAATAGTATATGAAACTTGTAATGCTATTTGGAACAACTTGTTAGGAGAATACGTAAAAGCGCCTAATTCTGAAACTGAGTGGGAAAAAATTGATAAAGAATTTGAAACCAGATGGCACTTTCCACATTGTGTTGGTGCCATTGATGGTAAGCATGTTCAAATGTTTGCTCCAGCTAGATCAGGATCAAGCTATTTTAATTATAAAAAGACACATAGTATAGTATTGATGGCTGTCTCTGATGCAAAGTACCGTTTTATTTTGGTAGATATTGGTGATACCAAGAATATTATTAATTTTCAGAAAAATTTTATTTTTAAATTTTTCTTCAGGCTTAATTGCTTATTTTCGGGAAAAAGTCTTTTCTTTTGTTTTCTTCTTGAAGTATAATTGGTATAATACTTGAGCTTTGCATTCTATAGAACAAATATTCTCACAGTTAGTTCAAGAAGGAATTTACTTAAAGATGAATAGAGTTTGTGTCAAGATAGTCTTTTGGATTCTGTACAGACTTTCAAAGAGATTTCATTCTTTTTAGTATTGTGTGTCACATTACACAACTTAAGTATTGTGTGCCAACAGTTTGCAACGCGAATTCAATTCTTCTGCTTTCCTTAATAATTTTTTGTTATAGATTGTAATTCACTATCAAACTTTTCACTTTCAAATATTGCTAATAAAGTATCTGTTAAATCTTCATAATTTTGATTAATAGATTTAAGGTTTGACTATTTTATTGCAAAGTTTTTTCACTTGGCTCATAGATTTCGGATTGCATTACTTTATACTTTCCATACATGTTGTACGCGTTGTCATAAGATTATCTAAAATATTCCAACCAATGTACCGTAAAATCAGCTAACTTTCCACCAGAGTTTTTTCATCAAATTAAGAAACCTCTCAACGGGGTCAAAGGTTGCTGAACCAATGTATCTTGAAACGATATTATGTTAATCTTTATGGCTGACTATCGAAGTAGAATCAACAGATAAACCATAATATTTTGAACTTTTACATCCTCAGCAGTTGAATGCAAGATTCGCTATAAAATTTTTTAACTCATTACAAGTGTTTTTTTTTTTAACAGTAAGTTTTGCTCGACCCACCATTGCTAAAATGATTGAGATGTTCTGCTAGAAACGGATCAAACTTTCCAACTAGTTCTAATAAATCCCAAAAAATTTACTTCTGCGCCAAATTGCTCATTTGGTCCTCTAAATGCCAAACTTTTCTCAATCAAAGTTTCAAATTATAGCTACTACTCGTCTTAATACTTCTCGCAAGTAATTTTGCCTTTGGGAGATGCAGAGGCACTCTGAGGTTTAAGTATGTCCATTCTTAGGTCAAATGATCTACTAACAAAATTACCCTATAACTTTTGTCCCTCATCCACCCCAAAGGTGGAGGTTATTAAAATTTTTTTTTAAATAAATGTAAATTCATCAACAGTTCTAAACTTTCATCAAATAATTTTTTATTGTTTAAAGGTTATGACGATATAAAATTTAAAATCCGCTCATATAAGGGAAGGGTGAAAACTTTATACATACAAAATGAACTTAAATTTAGTGTAAAATAGTAAAAAAAATTATTAATTTATTTCCATCACATTTTGGGTAGGGTTAACTTTTTAGAAGATTTTTGGGGAGAGGGTTAACTTTGGGATTCATATTTTTTATATATTTTTTAAATAAATTTACATAGCAGATAAGCGACTATAAGCATATAGATTATACAATAAAATTTAGATTTTTATTCGCCTAAATTAACATCTAGTTCTAGCTTTTTGTCAACGTTGTCAACATTTAAACATAATTTATCTAAGTCATTAATTTCATCTTATTCCATATCAGGTGAATTATTTTTATCACATATTTTATTTTGTAAACTGCTAAAAACTTTTAACCTTTTCTAGTTAATGCAAAGTTTCTCATTTTTCAATCTTTCTGTTAATGAGGTTAAACTAATTAATGGACCAGAAGCATATATAGCTTGAAGAAAAAATACCGTGGTTCAGTTGCTTTTTCTCCCATTAAACCAAGTGGAGATGGTAAATTAATGATGACTTTATCAGCATACGCTAGTACTTTGTGAAACAAAGCTGATACTTTTAAGTAAACTGTTAAAGAAATATAGTCTATAACAATTTTTTATATGTTTGATTGCAGTAATCATAGTTTTTATTGAATCGAATCGGTCTTTGTAATTGATTGCAATTAAAATGTTATGCAACCTGATAATGATTTCTTCATGAGTTTCTGAAGTTATGCTGAGTAATAAAGGATCAGAATAAGCTCGTTGACATATATTTCTGGTATTACTTTTTCATGGTCCGCCAGCTCTTGTTTCATCAATTCTATACAAAAAATGTTTAAAAAATCAAAAAACATTATTAAAGTATGTAGCGTTGAAATGCCAAAGCACAATGCATGCCCTCTATAACAAATCTTTCGTTAAAGATTTCTAAATCGCTTTTCATATTTAGTGTGAAATGACAAATCTGACAACATTGCATTAAGGAAGTGTCCATGATGTAAACTAAAATTTTTCCATCAACCACGGAAAAGACAAAACTATAGTTGGTCAAAACACACTTATACCCTGGAAAGTAAATTTAAACAGGATATAAATTAAGAAGCTCTTTTTTAATTTCTTAATATTTTAAAAATTTCTTTTTCCTGTAGTTTTAGTGGTTCTACTAAATCATTGGTTATAAAACGTGAATTAAGCTAAACCTGATTTCTAGTCTCAAATTTTTTTTCTATCCGATGCATCCCATTGTGCTACATTCTTTGCAAGAGTTTTAAGAAATTTTCATTGTCTTCTTTATTTTGATTTTTTAGTCATAATGTATTTAAATCCACTATCTACAATATCAAAAGTACTTTTCGAAACCTGATAACATTCCACAATTTGTCTTGAATTTATGCCCTTCATTTCCTTAATTTACAACAATATACATACAAAGTAAAAAGAAAAATTTTAACAACACTAAGGGGTCGTTCATAAAATACGTCACGCTCTAAAAGAGGGAAGGGGGAGGGGGTAAGTGATTTTGTGACAACTCATACAAAACTTGCTACTAAAGTGTTACGATTTTGTGTCGAGGGGAGGAGGAGAGGTCAAAAACGGGCGAAAATTGCGTGACGTAATTTATGGACGACCCCTAAAAAACTCTTGCGGTTTTTCCGTCGATCAGTGGGACATTAATTAGGCACCGATCAGTTGGGCATCAAACAGGCACCTTAACCTCTTTGAGTTCATTTTTTCTTAAATTAATTATTAACTTTAAAAACATAAACAATTGAAATTAAAATAAAAAAATTACTTTTTTTATTTCAAGAACAATATAAAAACAAGTTCACTTTAGTTTTTCATGTCTTAAATTATTATTTTCTTTTTTTTTAAATGTCATAAATGTAATAAATGAAAAAAAAATTTCATCTATTACAACTTTAGAGAGAGGGGGAACTCCTTGGACATAGTAGCCGCCAGACGGCCTATAAGTAGAATAATATATACGAACAATTAGACTTTTTAGTCTTAAATTTGCGTCGATATACAAACTAAAAATCTTTAAACGAATTAAATTTTTTTTTATTCATTTAAATACATTCTGCGTATTTAAATGTAGTCATATTAATTAAATTAAATTAACTGTCAGTTAAGTAAAAAAAAAAAAAAAAAAAAAAGAGAAAGAAAGAATGAAAGAAAAGAACGGCGTCATATAATGTCAATTGAAAGTTTGTCATTAGAACTTTTTCTTAGAAATTTTGCACTTACATATTAACAAAACAGCAAAAGAAAAAATATTATTGAAAGTATGCGAAATTCTATCGGTAGAAGATTCAGAATCAGCTGCATATGTATGCGCGTATAAATCACTCGTTAGATGTTCTTTTGAACAATATGTATGTATCATTCGTTTTTTTTTTGTGTTTAAAAGAATTTTTGTTGCTTTTTTTTTGTATTTTATTTTTTTTAAATCCAAGAAAGGGAAAAATGAAATTCATATTACTATTAATTTAATTTATGAATACTTATAATAATATTAAAAGAACTTTTTTAAACCATTAATATATTACAATAAAATACTCTAAATACTTATAATACACATATATAGGATATTTATTATTACTTCTTATGGAAAAGATTGTTTCAGACAATTCCGAATAAGATCAGGAAAAAATTGAGTTCGTGTTTTGGGGCCACCGTATATTATCAAAATATCTTAATTTAACTCACGAGTATTGTAGAATATCAAGTCATAATAATCATAAAATAGAATACGATAAAATTTTTTGCTCGAAATCTAAGCATTCCTTAACCATTTAGCGTAAAAGACTCGGATTATATTTCCGTATCCCGTTCCTCTTTTATAATTGAATTTCAGATTTGACAAACTAATTTTCAGATTTGGCATTTATAAAAGCAGAGTAATCATATACAAATAAAATTATTATATTTAATATAGGCTTAAAATAACCCTTGACACAATTTTTCATTTTTTTAAAATATTTTTTATGTTGAATTTTTCATACTGTTTTGATTCTTAGATAAATATATTAAGCCATTCTTCGAAAGACAAATATTTTGCTGTGGAAAATATAATCATTACTAAGTTATTATTTTTATATTAATACTATAATGTTAATGTTTCTAATATATAAAAAAATGATATCACAATGATAATAATGTATAGCCACAACAAAATATTTGATATTTGCTTTAGTTTAACAAATTAAGTCTAAAGATTATATTATCAACAGAGAAGATTAATGACAAACCTTTACTAAATCTGTTATCTACTTTTTCATAAGTAAAAGTATTTTTTCAAATACAATATGGTAACTGTAATTGATCCTATTTTTTTTGGGCTTTCTTTGTTGTTTTTAAAATCAACAGTCCTTGGTACACCATTAATTAACAATGAAGAAATTGATCCAAAGAGCATAGTGAGTAGTTTGTTCTTGTCTATATTATGAATTTCTTAATAATAATATCGTTATTTAATATAGATATTATTACTATTATTATTATTATTATTATTATTATTATTGCTATTATTATTATTATTATTATTATTATTATTATTATTATTATTATTATTATTATTATTATTATTATTATTAAATAGTTCATAATAATATTATATTAGGATTTGGTTTTAGTTATTTTAATAAATAAAAAATAAGTGTTCCTCAGCTATTATTATTTTGTTAGATATTATTTTATATTTAACTGGTAGCAAATCACCTGTGTTATGTTGATCAATTAGTTTTATTTTAGGTGTTTAATTAGAATTATTGCAATATGTCCAGCATTTACATGTGTTAAATCATTAGTAATAGGGATGACATGATTTTTCATGTAATCCCTCTTGCTATTGATTAAAATAGTTAAAAATTGTTTTAAAAATGTAACAATGTTATAACATATCTTTACAAAAGTAGATTCCTATTAATAAAACTTCTACAGCTTAAGTGAAGGCTGTCATTTACTTAAAATCTTCTGCTTAAAAGATCTTTAAGTAGAAGAGTTTAGTTACATACTGACTGTAATACATACATTTAATTACATACTGAACTGATCTAGCTACTTAAATGTATTTAATAAAACATATCAAGTTTTGATTTTTTTTAATATGATTTTTAATCTTTTAAGATAGTAGCAGGACTCCTAACTCTCTAACTTTAACTCGCCAATCTTAGCCCTTTTTTAAAAATTTTGTTAGCACTGCCATATATATATGTATATATATATATATATATATATATATATATATATATATATATATATTATATATATATATATGTATATATATATATGTATATATATATATATATATATATATATATATATATATATATATATATATATATATATATATATATATATATATAATACAAGGCTAAGTACTTGCATTAGTACTTGTAAGACATTGCATATAAATAATAAATAAAATAAAATTATTAAATAAAAAAGTTTAATCTCTAGAAAGTTGTTCTATGAAAGTGGTGCAATTTTCAGTATAGAGTCAAAAGTCATAAACCTTGGAATCATCAGGAAGAAAATCACAAAAAGTATCCCATTCAACTTTAAGTTAATACACTATTCAATAATTAGTTTTGCAACAATTCAATTAATTTAGTTAGTTTTATTTAAGTTAATTTTTTATATCATCAAGTTCTTTTTAAACTTAAATCATGCCAAATGTAAACCAAAATATTAAACATAAAAAAACATCCCTGCCAACTAAATGTTTTAATATATCTTTCACAAAAATTTGTGTTCTGCGAAGTAATCTTCTATGCAAAATTCACCAGACTTGCTTGCTCTTTGTGAGATAATTTAAATTGATGGATACTTACCTTTAATTCACAAAGACTCTAATTGTCACATGCTTGGCTAGGGCATATACTTATGCATCAATTTAACTATTTGTGGAAAAATCAGGTTTGAGTTCTTTGACCATTCTTTTATGTGCTTCTGCTTAGCACCTCTTCACTTTATCACCTTCCTCTTTTTTATATATTGTTCTCAAGACTGCACTCTTTCAGATGTAATTTCTGATCAAGTTGACCATGCTCTTTCTTTTTAGCCCTCTGCAAATAATTGTTGTTATTGGTGACTTTAATCTTTATCACACTGAATAGCATGGCTCTAACACCACTGACCCTGCTGGTAATAAAGACCATAACTTCTGTATTTCTAAATCTCTTACTCAGATAGTTTACTTTGTGAATTGTTTTCCAGACAGTCTTAATCACATACCTTCACTCCATGGTTTTCACTTTCCTGTGTTGCTGAAAAAATCTTTTTTCTAATCTTTTTTAAAAAAATAACTCTCACGAGAAAAAACATTTATTATTGCAAGATATCAACATAAAAAGGTGCTGTCTATTGCTAAGCTTCATTATTCTCAGTTCACTAAATCTCGTATCTTATCTCAGAAGTTAGGCTTTTAAGACTTTTGGAAAATCTTCAACAGGGTCATTAACAAAGGTAAGTTAACCATATTCTTTCCTTCAAGGAACTGATCTTATTGCCTTTCCCATAGATAAGACAGAACTATTTCAATTTATTGCAAAGAATTTTTTTGCTATTTGCAAAAAACTTTTCTTGTAATTCGATTCTTGAGTCTGGCCATAATCTTCCTTCCATTCCAATTAAACAGGTGAAACTATTGTTATACATTCTAATCTGTTGCTAAAGCCATATCTTAATTTAACTCTTCTACGGCTTTGGCAAACAATATTTCTGTCATAGTTTTACAAAAGTCCTCTCTCTTTAATTTTCTCTAAACTATTTAATAAGTATTTAACTGAATCTTATTTTCATTCCTGCTGGAAAATGGCGGTTGGAATTTTTAAAAACTGCTGTTTTAAAATCTGCAGTTGGAATTTTTTAAAAACTCTAGAGATCATTCTGCTCCTTCTAACTATTTTCCAATCAGTTTCCAGTCTTCTATCTGTTCTTAGAAAGGTATTTGAGTCTTTAATCTACAAATTTTTAACATCCCATCTTGAGTATAACAACTTACTGTCAGACAATCAATATGGTTTTCTATCCTCTCGCTCTACAGCTGACTTGCTAATTGCTAAGACTGAAAGATTTTATCGTTCATTAGATGGAGGCAGCGAGGCTAGGGCTATTGGTCTTGACTTATATAAAGTTTTTGATGTAGTTTGGCATGCTGGTCTTCTCCATAAGCTTGCTTCATATGGTTTATCTGGGAAAGTTTTTGAGATTATCAAATCATTTCTTTCTGCTTTATAAAAGTCATCCCTGAAGACCAACACTCTTCTTCATTTCCAGTAACTTCTGGAGTACCTCAAGGTTCTATCCTTGATCCTGTTTTGTTTCATATCTTCATTAATGATCTTCCTGACAACCTTACTAGTGGCAAACTCATAGTTTAATTAGGGATACCTCTTATTTGGGCATTTTAAAAATGATTAAATTTACTAAGGATTTTTTTTTTTTTTTGAATCTTAAAAATATTTAAAATTTTAAAAAACTTTTATAAAGTTATTGGGTAATTCCATTTAAAACTGGTACAGTCATTTCAGTCACCTCTTGGATTTGCTTTAAATTTTACCCAGTGGTACATAACAATAAGGCATGAAAAAATGTAAAATTTGAGCTCCCAAATCCAAACGGTTCAAAAGTTATGACGTTTTGAAATTCAGTCTAAAATGTTCCATTTTTTGTCAAGTCCGCCATTATGAATTTTGTAGTTGTACTATTTAAAAAATAATTTAAGATCTAGTGGAAGAATGAGGCTGAAAACTAGTACCTGACCAAGAGTGCTGAATTCAAAAATGTAAAGAAAATAGTGAAATTTAAATTTTTTGATGGTTATTATTAGATTTTAAAATGGTCAGTCAACTTTTTTGTTCTGTTACCATGGGTTGCGCTTTCATAAACTCCTGGAGTTGCCCAAGTTTCATAGATTCAATTTTTTTTTCAAATGAAGTAGGTGATCGTAGGCTATTTTTATAAAAAAGATGGTTTTGGTTTCTTAAAGCATTATAAAGATGTCATTTTGAAATTTAGACAAAAAAAATCTTTTTGTAGCCTCTATTCTCCATTATAGAATTTATAGCGATACTTTTTGTGTGAATAATTTCAGTTCTAGTGGAGAAATATGATTGAAAATTGATACCTGACCAATTTTAAAGATATTGAATACAAAGATGAAGGGAAATTAACCTAATTCTAATATTTGAGAATAATTTTTTAGTTTTAAAATATCAGCACTCAAGTTTTTTGTTTCGTAACCATGGTTTACATTTCACTTTTCAAGTGAAATGTAAACCATGTCTTAGAAAAGTTTAGGTCTCTGAAAGAAAATAAAAAAATTATATTGCTTTGCATAACTTGCATATTTATAATCAATACTTTCAAAAGTGGAAATATAGTTTACTATACAACACATTAAAAATATAATTTCTATATTAATTATAAGAGTTTAACTTAACATTATTACTTAATGTCTATTTATTAAATATTGTTTCAAAATATTGGTTGCATGCTTAAATATTAGATTGCATGCTCAAATACTGTGTTAAAAAATAAGAAACTAAAATACAAGCTTTTTTGAAAAAATAGTAAAAAATCTACTTTATTGAAAAAAGCTCAAAAATAAAAATAAATAACCAAATATTACTAAAATTAAAGTTTGTATTGTTTAAATAAAGAAAGTAAAATATTCATCAATTTTCACTGACAGAGTAAAAGCTGTTCAAATAGAGTTTCATCTTCTATTGTGATGCGGTACTAACAACCAGAAGATGTTGACGGCGTTTTAACAAGAGAAATGACATTCATCTCGCTTTGGTCAGTAGTACAACCGACTTGGATAATGTGGATGCATAAACTTTACCATAAAATCATCATTCTCTTTATCAATTTCAGAAACCATACCAAGCCAATAAAAATCGTCGTATTTGCAAAATAGGTATTGTGACATCATAACATTGTCAAATTTATTAATTTCATATTTTTGTTTATTGAAGTCAAATGTTAGAGCAAAATCATCATCATCAGATACCCTTTTCATTTTTCAATTGAATGAGAAAAAGGTATAAATTGATGGAAACTTCCCAGGAATAGTGGTTGCTATTAAAAGTCTATCACTTAGTTTTATTCTCACTAGCTCCATCTCTTCAGCAGGGATGTACACAAATGTAATCCCACTGACTGAATTTTGACAGTATTCAAACATTGCATTAGAAGACAGTATTTGACCTGTGGTTTGACTCTGCAAGCTAGCAGTTGCAACAAGCCTTTTAACAGTGCCACCTATTCCATCGCTTGGAGATTTACCATGGCTTGTTGCAAAGAAATTCCAGATGCACCGAACAGAAAAATCTTGAGCATGGTGACATAAATTGTAAAAATATTTGCAATTTTTATACTGCCCTGCACAGCCATCAGAAAAATAATGAAC